CTAACGATTTATAATCCGTTGTATCTTTCAGGGTGAACGTATAATGCGTGTCAATCCTAGCGAGCATAATCACGACGGCAGGATCGAATGTAATTTGGGCTTAACGAAACTCCACGGGGTGGAATCGTCGGTACGTATAGAACATGATTGGTGATAAGCAACGTGAGACGTCAGTATATACGCGTCACGATGTCATGTCATCAGGAAATGATCCCCTATGGATCATCTTCATCGTAAGACAAGTTTACCATATTATCGTGATTAGATCACGCGGAACGCGAGGATCGATTGGTTAAACGCGGACGAACAGTCGTTACGCGGAGGACCGTCGGCATCGCGTCGCAGAGTAAAAATGCTAATTTCCCGAATGACGAGGTTTGCTCGTCGATCGCGTCCGCGTGCTGCATTGTTTCGGACAAGCGCGTTGCACGCGATGAATTATTCATGGCGAAATAGGCACGGAGGCGCCCAAGCTTAATGCCGCGCTCGATTTTGCCACGGATAAGAGAGCGGGCTTCATTTCACGATCGAGGGGGTAGCAGGGGACCGCGTACTTTAAGAATGTGCGTGAATGTATTCGTGCGGCGTTTTCTTAAAGCGGCTGAAACTTTTGTGAAATGAAAGGGAAATTATTCGACTTTGCTGTTTCGACTTGCTTGTCGGTTAGAACACGATTTCGCAGCAAGATGCGGTGAATGCTAAATAAACTGTAAATAAAATTATGGTAAAAGCGAATTAATTTCTAAAAGTATTTGAATATTTTAGAAGTTTTATTTTTGATGTTTTGCTTTAAGGATGAGAGTTTTTAAAAACTTTATAAATAACATTAGAAATGATATAAAAAAAAATAGTACGTTAAAATTTGCTGTTATAAAATTTTTGAACTTGTTGCTTCGGAAATTCGATTTATTAGACCTGCAAACTGCATAAATTGCGTTTGCAGAGGATCAGCGAAGGAATACATTGAATGAGAGAATTTATACACAACTAGTTTTAAAGTTTTTATTCTCGATCGCGCTTCCCGGACAAGTTACGGAAAGCTCAATCGCGAGAAGTTACACGTTTTATAAAAACTTTTTTTTCCGCGCGGAAAAATTCTGACGAGATAAATCGCCGTGTCAGTTCTGTGTTATTTTTCATCTGCTTGCCCAGTTCACTGTGGGAGTCGGCCGTGGCGAAAGGGTTGACTTGCACTCGACTTGGCATTGATGCAGGTGCTAAACAGCACTTTAATGCGAGAATTATATTATAAATTCTCTCTCTCTCTCTCTCGCCTTTTTTTCTGCGGTAGAAGAGGGAAGATAAAGAAAGAAGACTCGAGATAGCTATCTACATGAAAAGGTATGAGATAGTGTGTTTATGTTAAACTCGAGGATGTTTCAGCGAAAATTAAAACGTAATTTTACCCGTAGTTGTAGTCTTTACATGTATTTCGCTGTCATGTTCCATCATCGAGGAATACTTGTATTTTTATTTTTACTGCAACAAATGCACTTTTCACGTTAGAGCAAACAAAAGATTTTTACACGAGCAATGAATTTGATTATAATTAGATTATATATATTAAACCTATTATTGAGAATTATATATTATTAAGAGATATAATATTTCCCAAATTACAATATGTCGAAATATTGTATTTATTATTTTTACACAGTTGTACTATAGGAGAATGACGATTAAAGAAATTTTCAAAAAATTTTTATTGCAGAAATCGAAAAATATAAAAAATTGTCCGAGGGCAAAATAGTCATAATTATTTTTCAGATTTTTCAATTTTTGGTTTAGAAAATTTTTCGAAAAATTTTTATTGTAGAAATCGAAAAATATAAAAAATTGTCCGAGGTCAAATGAGTCATAATTATTTTTCAGATTTTTCAATTTTTGGTTCAGAAAAATTTTCGAAAAATTTTTATTGCAGAAATCGAAAAATATAAAAAATTGTCTGAGGGCAAAATAGTCATAATTATTTTTCAGATTTTATATTTTTTGGTCAGAAAAATTTTCAAAAAATTTTTATTGCAGAAATCGAAAAATATAAAAAATTGTCCGAGGGCAAAATAGTCATAATTATTTTTCAGATTTTTCAATTTTTGGTTCAGAAAAATTTTCGAAAACTTTTTTTGAAAATTAAAGTTTGCTTATTAATAATGTTTCTTTAATTAAGAATAATTCTCTTATTTGACTATGCCTCTATAATTGTATGTACGTTTTTAATTTATTATCCATTGAGATAAAATTAATTCTACATATGCATTTGAAGGTCAAATTGTTTTGACCAAAAACTGCATTGCCAAGAAAACGAGAATCCACAGTCAGTAAACATGAGTGTATCACGCATGGCGGCCGATAAAATGGCTGCAAGTAGATAAGGTATCAGTATTCGGTACTTTTACTCAATCGATAATATCTCCTTTGAATAAAGGTATCGAACTAATTTGAACATGTTATTTGAAAATAGCAAATACCTACTCGAGGTATTTTGTTATGTCATTCATAGAGTATATGTGTGAAAATTGATAATTTTCAGCATCTCTATCCAGCTTACGTCAGAGGGCGCGAAGAGTGCATTTTGATGCTCCTAGAAATGACTGATCCACATAATCATTTTGGCTTAATTATAATCTGTAGGTTCAAGCATAATACATTGCGGATATTCACATACATTTACGCATTATATACACCTATAACACGCAATTTTATAAGCGAGTGTACGATAAACACTTGAGAAAAATTGAAATAAAAATGCAATTTAGCTTAAAAACAATAAAAAGGAGAGAAATAATAACGATAAAAAAATATGATACGTAATATTTGATATAATACAAATGCAATTGGATAGCGAAAAAGCTAAAGTTAATTTTTTTATATCTTTTAATTAAAAAAAAATATTGTACCAATACAAAAGAAATTAAAAAAATTATTCAATCTAAAATTTATAAAACCAATGTATATATGACAATTGTTGAACGCTTAACGATTTGCCTGTATTATACTCAATAAGTTATTTAATTTGCGAAAAACGAAATATTTATTTTACGAAAATCATAACATCACAGGCTAACCAATTTCTATCGCAGTTAATATACGCGCGTATACAAACATCTTCATTCGCGATATGTTTGCCTTTAATTAACGCATTTAATAAAGCAGCCGCGATGTTTATCGCGATAAAATATTAATGAGACATCATGACTATTACATGACCCAAAATGAATAACACATATTAAATGCAGCAGAGATTAAATCGAAGATAAAATTGCTGAAGTGATCGATGATGCGTGGACTTGTTTAAATAATGATTCGGAATGGAGTTTCACACACGTAACGCTCGGTATATAATCCTATAAAATAAATCATGAAATTATTGCCTACCACACATAGACCGCCGCACAAATTTGTGAATTTCCAAATAACGTGAAATCCCGGCGCTTATGTCAATTTTGTATGATCAAATGATAACGCATTAATTTGATTTTTAAACAGAATGATGAGTTGAACGTATAATGATAAATTTTCAGGAATAACCGATTATTCAGCATTTATAATTATAATTATCACTAAAATTAAACCCAATGTTACATACGCATATTGTAATATGTGTAGTAAATTAAGAGTTCCCATAGTGCAAGTTAGGCCTGAATTTTCGCACGAAACGCATCGCTCTTTTGAGATATTACAATTATTTGAATTTTGGTCCTTGGAACAACAGTCGACATTTGTGTAAGCCAGAAACGTACGGAAAGCTCTTAATCCCTGGGTAGCATTAAACATTCTTTGGGACCGCGTTATCCCAGGAGTTATCCCGAAAGGGTTAAGTGACGAATAACTGTACGGCTTACGTTAATTCCGCGGTGGCGGCGGCGGGCTGCCCTATATATCGCACGATTGCGCCAAACCAGAGGAAACCGCGTACAAGTTCGGATGTTTATGCTTCGAGCAAAACCGAGAAGTGCAGCTCCAGCGCGCGGAGTAACTCTCGCCTTGCCGCCGCTATGGCAATAAGCATGCGCTATATGGTTCCCTCATGCATATTCGGCAAAGATAAACTTTACGGCGAATTTGCCCCTCGGCCGGTCCCGGGCACAACTAGCTAATTAACTATCGCGCCGGATAACTTTCGATAACCGCGACTGTCCGCGACAACGTCTCGCAGCTTACACGTAATCAATCTGTCGTCGATATCCGCGACGAATATTCACATAGATTGCCATAAGTCTCTCGTCACTAGGTGACGATCAGAAATTTTGAATTATTCCGAATCGGAAGTGCGCAAAATGCAGCTTTCCAATTCAAATGTGCGACTTCTTAAATTTTGTGAATGAAATTTAAAAGCAGCTTAAGCCAAGTATGTAAAATATATATGAATGAAAAGATGTAAAATGTAGGTAAAATAAATAAGATATTAGACCGTTTCTAACTCTCCATAGAAATGTTAATGTTGCAGTTAGAAAAATTTTAAAAATTTTAATTTTAAAAATTTTATGAAGGATTCAAATATATAGAATGACATGCAGAGAATAAAGTAAAAAGTTTAATTCTACTTTCGTTGCGCGTGGTTTTAAAGACTGTTTTCAGACTAAGTAATATTATAATGATGTTTTAAGAAGCGCATTATCAAGTGCGTATCGCGTATATGTATATAACGAAGGCGGCCATTCAAGATGGTTGTTAGGATTAAAGGCGCTATTCGGTAGGCGATATTTTCATGATCGTAAAAAGTAACATTATATTCGCATCTGCGTTTCTTGCTTCTGATGCTATAAACTTTTACGAAGGTAAATTACTGCCGTAACATATAACGTCGGGAAAGATTTTTCTAAACAGCCTACACGAAACGTTTTCATAAAAGTTGGAAGTACTTGTTTTATTGTGAGTCATTAAATATCACGTTATTCGACTGAGAGGCATCGGGAAAGAATAAAAAGAAAAGACAGTCGTAAAATTCTATAAAAATTTATATTGCGTTTACCTTCGAAAAGGAAAGAGAGGTAGATTTATTTAGTATTGAATTTCTTATTATATTATACTTTTCTAAATTATTTTCTTCGACAAATTGGCTAATTGTTAAATATCACAGTCTAGCTGAGAGCTTTTACATGCAACTACACATTTAATTGAACTTTTACAATTCTGCCGGTATGATTTCTATCGATGCTAGATGACTTCAAAGTGTTTGCCTTGCGCTCTTCAATATTTCGCTGTACTAACATCAGCAAATTTCGCCGGCGATTCTTTCACGGGTTGTGGAAAGAATAGAGATACGCAGAGGCAGGCTGCAAAAAGAAAATACGTTAGAAAAGGAATTGGATTAAACTCTATAAAAAAATTAGGATTAATTTTAATTAAGTCAATTAATCTAAAATGTTTGAACATATGCAGTTTGTATGAGATCCGGTGCAGCCTAATAATTTGATACACAGTTTAATACATTTTATCATCACAAATTGTTATCATCTTGCGGATAAGAGGCTTTGCGTTTTCGACCTAATTTGATAAAATGTTTAATGAAAACAATCTTAAAAGATAATATCTTATGTATTATGTGTGAAATGACATGATTCATATTAGAAGGATTAAATTGGCACTCGAATTGCATTGATCGTACCGGAGAAGAAACAACCCAATCCTAGGAAAGCGATGAGACACTCGGTCTCCAGAAGCGCGGAGAAAATCAGATTTCCCACGATAGCGGCAATATTTCCGATGGTCACGAGGATGTTGGTACTCGTGGCTCTGCAACAAAAAGATCAATTTCTGTCGACCGATTATATTTATATCTCGCGACGATGTATCTCCGTTTCTCGCGTTAACGGATACGAACGGATGATAAGCGGGCGAATCGAGGATCGCGCGCTCGATAAGTCCCCGAGATTGCTGCTGCCGTTCCGCGCGCGCTCGCCACATCTGCCACGTGGTTGCACGTGGCGCAATTAATTTCTCCGGAATTACACGGGGATGCGCGGGCGAGAGTGCGGAGGATACGGTCGCGCGCGTCAAAGAGACGCGCTTATATATTCGCGCGGCATTACCTTAATGGGACAGGAATAACGTCGACATTCACCGCGGTAACGATATTACCCGCTATTCTTGTCGTCACGATAACCGCCGACGCCAGCGTCAGCATATACGGCGGAGACTGCGCCCAATTTATTCCGAAACTGCTTGCCACCGATATCAGGAAGGCCGTGACTGCAACAGTGGAGTTGTACTCGTTAATTTATGGATTATTTTTCGCGATACGATCGTCCCATAGACAATTTGTAGCCACTTTTATGTTACGTAGCAAAAATATATAAAAAATACACAAACAAAATTGACATTCTCTTTAAAAGGAGGAAAAGAATATTTTTATGTGACTGTAAATAGTATAGTTACATTATTTTATGGTAATAACTATTGTTTTTAATGTAAAATATAATTCATGTTATTTTTTTTAACAAAGTTAGAGGAGATAGTAGTTTTATGTTTTATACAATGTGTAGAGATATAATGTCTTACGCATTATGATCTGTTTTCGAAGCTTAGTAGTCGTTATGAATCCGGCAAGAAATGAGAATATAACCGCTGACGATGCGATGACGGTTGAATTTTGATAAACCGCAGGATTAACGGTCCACTGGAAAAGTACCAAAGTGTTTGTAATTGTATAAATTCTATTTAAGGAAATCGCAGTTTGCGATTAATTGACGAGCAGTTTAATTGTCCGTTAATTAAAAACATCACGATTTTATTCCAAGATTGACGCTTTAATATTAACGATAATTAGCTTATCGACGAGAAGTGCCCCTTGACGTCGCGCGATTTTTATACCAACCCTGAAGCATATGTCGTCAAAGTTCGAGCAATTCAAATATTGCCTGCCCGGTAAAGTCGCGTGGCGGTCCAACATCTCGCAGATGGTCGGCTGCCTTTCCTTCGTCCAATTTTCCTCGTCGAAGTTGTTGAGAATAACAAAGAGATGCGGCACCCACAGTCTCATTACGTGAAATCTACGCAATCGGGTCAGCGTTCGTCATCGCTTTTAAGTGTTATCGCGTCGAAAAGCGTCCAAGGGGAGCGCCGCGCCGACTTATCCAAACTTACCCGAGCATACTTCCGAATTGAAGGAAACTTACGAAGCAGAAGGCGGGCAGGTAAGCCGTCGTCGTCAGTAGTAGCTTCGTGTTGTACAACGAGATGCGCATCCTCTCGAGGCTCGCCTTGAGCACGGGACGCGCCAATTGCGCCTTTTGCCGAACGAACAGCGCTTTTATCTGCAACGAGAAGGGAGCGACGATGAAAGGCGCCCTTTTTCTCGGCTCACCGAGTGAATTATGCGTCCGATTTGTGCACCGCTATCTAAATGCAGTGGTGGGAATGGCGTAAAATACGAAAGCACTGCAGACATATAAGTACAAGTTATAGGGAGAAATATATAAGTGCACGATACATAAAGCATGAACGGTATAAATTTATCATTGTTTTCATTATCAAGATCGGAATAAATAAATTTGCGAAATGGTGATTTATTGTCCAGAAAGGGTTTGCGATAGAAAGAGGTGTGCAAAATTTAAATTTGCTCGGGGTGTGTGTGCGTATGTTGTAACGCCTAGTACCGACCCCGCCTTCATTCGCCTGGAAAATACGATTTGCGCTTTTCTCTACTTCCGTTTCCGCTTTACTTCGTTTTCTCGCTCTTTTTCTGCTCGTCGCGGACGTGCCATAAATAAAACGTGTCGTTTGTATCTAACCGAGGTGTTATGAAGTCGCGGAGGATATCTCCCGGTCATTTGTTAGAGCCCGAAACAACGAGTTTCGCTCGATAAGCTTGGTAAAAAGTTAATAACGTCCGAATAATGTAATATTGTCGTTGCCCGAGTTAGAAACGAAAATGCATCTCACTCTGTGTTCTGCCAAAAAAAAACGAGCGCAACAGTACATACGTACATGTTTACTTGAGAAAAATGTTGAAGATAACAAAACTCGAAAGGTCTGAGAGATCAAACTTTTAAATTAAGTTTTAGCGTGTTTCGGCTTTAGGGGGTTAATAAAAGTGAATAGTCCAATTTGAAAAGGATAAAAGTATATGGGGAAAAGTAAGAGGTATAGAAATAAAAGTTGAACGCGTTTCACGTTTATTTGACTTACCGGGAACGTATCCGCGGGTTGTCGAGTGTTCATACAATACATCCTCCTAAGCAATTTCAGGGCAGCATCTGACCTGCCAATTGCCATGAGATACTTAGGACTTTCCGGCAGCATGGTCGCCGTCACGAGGCCGAGGACGGGTGGTATTGAGCAGATCAATAGGTATATACGCCAAAAATCGTAGTCCTGGCCGAGGATATTAATGTGCCAGTCGAACGGTAGTGTCGTGAAGGCCAGAGCTGTCGAGTCGTATTATACGTTTAATTATTGGGACAAATCCATAAGAGCGTGTTGTCTTTATTAATTTTTTTTCTTCCCGGGAAGAATCGAACAACACACTTTTCGACGTTTAATTATTGGGACAAATCCATAAAAGCATGCTGTCCTTAATTATTAATTTTATTTCTCCCGGAAAGTATCGAACAACACCTTTCGATCTGTCGCATTGTCTTCTCGTGACAACGGGAAGCCCTAATCATACAGAGAATTGGTCCTTCAACGGAAATTAATTAATATAATTCTCGAAGCTTTGCAGTTCTCGATAGCTCGCGCATTCAACCGGAACTATTCGGTGCCAATGTGGATTCGTCGTACGCGTTGTTAGGTAAAGTTTGCTGGTTATTACACACAGGACGTCGCGATAGTGACACGTAATCTAGTTTCGAACTAGTTCCGCCAACCTCGGCAGCAAGAGCTGTACCGAGATCATTTCTAAATCCTTTTCACATGAGTCAGCCTTAAAATGTTACAGTTACGTTTAGACAGATTAATAGTACAAACTAAATAAGCAGCAGACGCAAAATACTGATAGTAATTGTAATTGGGAAATTATTACAATGTTAGGTACTTGTCGCGTGTAAATTTTATATATTTTATAGCTACATTTTTTCTAATTTCTTTTTCCAATTCTCAAATTTAGCTTTTAATATATCTTTACACGTGTGTCGTTCATTTACTCTCGTGAGTGAATGAATTGTTGTTGATAAAAGTACAATGCATTAAACATGCGATATATCGCGCGATCGCGTGTTTACCTGCCGGTACGATATTTGCCACGGCGAAGAGAAATCCCGTCCATGTGTTGAAGCGGGGCTTATATCTCGCCGAATGAAATTCCGTCAGGTACGTCATCACCATCGCCAACGGGCCGCCTACGCTGTAAATCATAGATGCGCGCGCGTTACATCTTATCAGATGTAAGATTGCGAGGGGAAGAGGTTACACGATAAACCTTGGGCGGCTAGAATAGGATGCACGATGCACTTGAACTAGTTTTTCAGGAGAAAAAATTCGACTAACGCAGATGATATTCTGTTAATCAGATTAAAAAATTTTGATATTAAATGTTTTATTAATTATAATTTCTTAAACAGAAATTCCACAAATAATTCTTTATTAGAATATTTAACATGAATAAATATAAAATATTTTGTTCTGTAGTAAGTATGATAATCGTGACGTTTTAAGTTGCGTTTTAAGAGAGAACTTATACTTCTAAAAAAAAAAAAATTCTTAGTAATTTTTATAGAAGAATCATATACTTACAGGATTCCGCTGAGAAATTTGACTAGTAGAAATATGTAATACGATTGTACACCACTGCTCACGATGTTCAAAATCGAATCACCTAATAATGCGAAAATGAACAATGTTTTTGTACTTATGTAGGGCGTTATGTAGTCCCATATAAAAGCAGTCGTTGTCATGCCTACAAAAGATCAGTAACATTACAATACGTAATACAAATTAAAGAGATATTTTATAAAATAGTATTTTAACAGAGGTATATAAGATTATAAATGAATTAGATTAAAATTGCAATAAAGAATGTATAACATGACAATGACGTTCAATAATAATATTAATATTAGATTATTTTAAAAAAGTTTTTAAAGAAGATAAAACTTTTTAATGCTAAAGTGTTATGATATTTTTTAATACAGTAATTATTTAAAAAAGTATGATTTTATAGATTGTTAGTATTAGATTTATATTTTCGCACCTATGTAAGGAAATGCAACGAGTACGCCTTTGCGAAAAGACGTAAGCTGGAGATCGCATTCGGCCGATGCCAAGATGAACGCGCTGGAAGTAGTGTCGAAAACGACGGTCCACGCGATTGGCAACACCGCCAGTAGCAGTAACACGTTAAATAATCCATAGCCTGCGATCGGGAAAAAAAATAAAACGATGAAAATTATTGTATATTTGAAATGAGACGTAAAGAGGTCTTACCGGTCGTGGATATGGCTGTGTCGAAATCGGCAGGTTCGTTAGCGGCGTTAGCGCTGCCTGAAAGACAAAAAGCGAATGATCTTACGAAATGAGAATTCGTATCTACATTGTGAGTTATATAACAAACGACGCAATTAAAAGAGTCTAGATACGTTAATGAGAAAGAACGTATAGATACAGAGATATTTACGTGCAGGAGGAACCATCTGTCTATAGATAAGACAAGGAGACAAGAAAAAGAAGGACAGTATTCAGCAATTTCTTTGCAAGTAATTACGATATGCTGTTATAGAGTTGCCAGCGAGAACGTGACTTATCTAATAGCTAAAAAATAAATATTGAACAAAATGTGCCCGCTTGTACTTTAGATACTTATATAATATATGAAACTCATCTCTTAAATTCATGCATAATACATTATACGTACAATTTATGATAACTATATCTGCATATCATTTCTGCAACATGTTAATCACAGACGAGCATAGAAATTTATATACACATACACAAATTTACACTTATACACAGGAATAGATCTGTTAGAGGACTAATGAGTAGAATTATATTTTCTCTTAATATCTCACTATTCGGTAATCTGGATAGGAATTCGTCGGTATTCGAACGATTTTTATTTGTTCCTGTATGCGCGCCACTTCGTTAACTCACTAAGCAAAAGCTTGCTTCGTCTTCAAAGTATATTGGGTATATTTGGCAACCGGATGTTACGAAAGGCTTCTCACCGGTTATCGTAGAAATCTTGTCATGCTCCCGGCCACTCGCGTGCATATCCGACGCAACGAGTTGAAAAGACGACTGCGCTCGACGTGATGAAGTTAGTTTCGCTTCTCTCACGACGAAAATAGAAGTTCTAGTCGATTTAGATGGCGATCTTGTTCTTCAGGTTGTTTCTCGTTGCTTCAGATTGTTCTTCGAACGGAACTAATTGCACCAAGTATCCGACCGTCCGTTCACTTTGAATAAAAAAAGCAAACGTACTTTATGAAGACGTTGTTCAGATATGCATTTTTTATTGGTACAATCCGCCGGAATACGCGATTCTGCGCGTACGATCGGACTATGAAACGCGATCACGCTTTCTGGCGAGCTTCCCGTTCGCGTAACCCACTAATAAAAACGGGTTAAACGATTCAATTGCGACGGATACATCTCAGCTGTTTCTCATTAATGAATCAAGCATCTTGAAAAAGTCAGTCGATTTATAATTTAGATTCAATTATTGATTTTTAACTTTAATTTGTATATATTTATATTAAAAATAATGAAATATATATATAAATAGTAGTTATAATATTTTAGTGATCTAAATTTTTTATTTATACTTATTTTTTATTTTATGAAACCAAGTTTTATAAAAATATTGGAGATAACAAATATAATGTAAAACACTTTTATTTATTTATTTTATATTTAAAATTATATTTGAGAGAAGTATTGAATTTAATTAATAATATTGATAAGATTATTATTTGCATTTGAACATAACTGTAGCTTTCATAAAAATAATAATTTAAACCTTATTATCTATAGTTGTTTTACGATACCTGATATTGATACCTGCTACCGTAAATGAAAAACCGACTAACGATGTTTTATACATTAAATGTATTGCGTATTGCATACTGACTTCCGAAAGCGCTCGTTTTACGTCCAATGAACGATAAAGATGGCACAAGACTGTCGATAATTCGCTATCTAAAGCAGCCATTATTTTAGTAAGTGGGAAGCAATAATTTTTTATCTGTAGTATTTAGTAATTGTAAGATAAATTTTAATGTTAATTTACATCGCAAGGCCGGTGTTGATCATGTGCCTAAATTAGACGTCTAATTAGGCAAGGGATGAAAGCGCAAACCCTTATACAGCGCAAAATTCTCTCTCGCTTGCATCTTTTATATCCTCAAGTCATAAAACGGCAAATAAATATCGGTGTTTCTCCCCTCTCTCGAAGTTTGCTGCTGCGAATTAATCTGAGCGAGCGGGAAAGGCGCACCGTTGCAGATTAATTCGAAAGTTATAATCAGTGATCCTAGAAATCTCTAGATATGATTAGAAAAGATTAGAAACATCTGTTTGTAATTATCGTTGAACATACGATCCTATTTTCATGGTTTTGAACAAAAATAGTTATCTCACGATAAGATAGTACAAATTTTTATTTCATAAAAAACGCGTGCATATAGGAAAAGCAATTAATTGAAAAAATATTAACATATCTATAGTCACATATTATAGAAAAGCAAAAATTTTACTATATAAAACTCACCATAATTCTTTGAATTATCACTGTTCAGTATTCACTCTATTTCGACACTATTTCCTTTGAGATCGTATTTATACTTCTGTTATAATACAAAGAAAATGGAGAAAGAGAAATTTTTTTATGTAATTAATTGCAAGTATAAGCTTTTAAACGCTCTTAAATACTTTTGTTATTGAATGTTATTAAAACACATAATGAGTTCACATTAAATGATAAGCGGAAATTACTTCTGGGAACGCGAACAATTATTTCGAAATAGAAAGAAATGGTAATGTAGAAAAAGGCAAGAATTCGTGGCGAAGGAAATATATCGATAAGTTGGATGTAATGGTTGGATATCACAATGCGACTCACTTTTGATTTCTCGCGGAAAAGTAGAAGACGGTACGTCTCTTATCGCGATTAACATATCACATATTACACAGTCACTGTGCAAATACATTAGCTTGCCGCTGATGTGAATTAATGTACGTGCGTATGTTGATATTCGTACTTTAACCCGAGAGTAGTCGCGTCCCGATCATTTTGTCATACTTTTTAGGTTTCTTCGTATACAAAAGTAAATGGCACAGACACGCTTATTTCTATATGAAATTTGATATGTTTGTAATAGTCGATCTGAAAGACGTAGCGCGCCTGCTTACATTAGTCTTTTTACACACACACACACACACGTATATGTATTAAACTTAATAAGTTTAATTAAAATAATAGATAGTAAAAAAGAAAAAGAAAGAAAGAGGAAGAAAAAAAGAGGAAAAAAAAGGAAAAAGCAACATAATAAAATTATTTCCAGTAATTATTATGTTCCTTTGTTCTTTAATTGATTAATAAAAAGAAACATCATTGGAATGTTTTCTTTTTAATTATTACTTATACTAATTATAATACATAAATGTATCCTTGTTATAATACATATACTGTGTGCGAAAATATATTTTAGTTAAAATGACTAGGATGCGTTTAGGTACTAATCGTTAGTCACGTGCCTTCCGAGTTAACCGCTGAGATACGATTGACGACGAAGGAAGTAGTCTCAATCGTAGTTCATATTCATTTGTGCAAGAATTTCATGTCTCACCGATAACGAGATAACGAGATAACACTATAGACGAACATTACACTTGAACTTATTTCATTGCCATAAATGAAATGATGAAACTTTTAAAATTGTTTCAACATTTATCATTACACTCTTTAATTTAAATTTATTTATTGTAATACGTATCAAAAATAATAATTGGTAATAATATAAACAGTAATAATAAGCATAAAAGATATTGACTGAACATATCATATAATGTTATATAATTATTATTAATATTGTATTATTATATAATTATAAATTTTCATGTTTATATATTTTAATGCATCAGATTGCTTTAAGTTACTGTTACAATTCAGGACGTAGAATGCTTTTTGAAGCAATAATCGATATCACTTGATGAGATTCGCTATGGAGAACGGTTAGATTATAGACCTAGTAAAAAAATAGTTCGGGGGAAAAACTGGTTTTTCTTTCTCCTTGCTCATTTTACTGCAAAAGCAGGGGTCGTCATTTCCGGTTCCGGGCCGTGCAGATGTATGCTTTACGGCGGCAGAAACGGAAATGGATATTTGATCCGGCGGTGTAGCACTAATCTTTAGTCACCGACTGGTTCTCTCTAGTGGTATTCGACCCAGTTGACAGAAACACAAGAGTGCCGCAGCAGATTCAAATTGGATTCAACATAGCCTTCTCCCTGGTCTCTGACCCGATGATTTTCGTTTAATGGCGAGAGAAGTACACGTACAAATTTCCTACACGTGAGAGAGACTTTTGTACAATACTAGCATTTTTCCACTATCATTATTAGAATTTAAATAGATTCTGTTTTGCGGTAAAACGCAAAATTGCTTATCACGAAAATAAAATTAGTTAATTCATAATCACTTTATCTTTAATTGTTGGGCCTTTTAGCTTTGCAACATTATTATTGTTGGTGCCTTATTATACATCGATATAACTAGCGAGAAATATCTGATATTCTTATCTTGTATCTCTCGAATAAATACAAACCTAATATGTTCTAGTAATCTTTTAAAAAGGTTTTCATATCTTAAGTTCTTAATGGAATTGAAATAAGTTCTGGTTTTCATATACGCGTTGCCGTGTGTTAACGCGCGCGTCAAACACACATCTTTATGAGTTATTTCAATCAAATTCGTGCTTTTTTTTTTCAAATTGTGCGGGGCAACCCATGGAAACCAGGGATAAAAAAGAGAATAGTTATTCAGATAATTGATTGTACTGCATAGATATGACTATAACTTTAAATGTTTGCAGTTTAGATAACATCGCTTTTACCGCAAAAGTACGCTTGTGATATTCGATAAATGCTCAGTAAAAATAGAAAAAAAATATTTTCAATAAAAAATATCGCACTCCAAGTTCTGACAGCTGATAAAATACTGTGGTCTTTCGATGACGCGGTTAATTCGTCGCAAAAACTGCATCACTGGGCTTTACGCGTGTCGCCCGTGCGCGCTTGCTGTTCTATTTGTTCCGGAATCACCGCACGTGCACGTGCACGATGATGAAAAATCAGGCACTTGCTGCATGCGGCATATTAATAATAACGATAACGTCTACTAGCGCGGTAAACAATAATTATATTTTTCTCGCTCCTGCGAGATTATCGTAAAAGGATGTTATTTCAACTCTTAATTGGCACGGTGAGAACGAAAACTGTTAATGTTAAAGATAACATAACTTTGCCTAGCTTAACTTCAACACGAAGAAATGTTAAAAACATATTGTCGGGGATATTTATATGCATGTATATTAAAACATTTATTCGACAGTGTATGAAAGAAAAATAGTAAAAAAATATAACAATTCTTATAGTATATTAAAACATTTATTCGACAGCGCATAAAAGAAAAATAGTAAAAACATGTAATAATATCCTATAATATTCTGTAATATTCGGGGAATACTAATTGTTATTGATATCGATAATCTATGAAAACAGCACAAGGCGTGCTAGTATTATTGGCCATTGTGGTTTCATTTACGAACTGTAATCGTTAGAAGCATTTGGACCATCAATTTCCAATTTGGAAATTCAATACAGGAATTTCTTCCCCAATAAACTAAACCACTGAACCATAACCGAAACTATGTTAAAGCGATTTAAATCTAGACAAGCTATTGATACAAAAAAACTCGTACATATACCATCAATATGTGGTTTAATTAATCTTGTCTAGATTTAACTACCTTACAAATACAGTCTTATTTTTTATTTTTTTTTACATTTTCCTTCTTATTGATGTCTCAAATATATCTATTATCGATTTATCATCACCACATAAAACTATACTGTTTCTATTGAACACAATAAGAAGCATCAGTCATATCATTATCCAGTTACAACTAGATTTATCCATTACAACTAGAAAAAAAAGCTGAATGATTTCGAAGCAGAGAGACAGTAATGTAAATTATCTCGGCGTTGAAGTTGGACGGTAATTCGGGTAATTTCGAAGTCAAGTGCAGTTTAACTGGACAAGCGTAACACGCTCATTGTTAAGCGTTCTCGAGCGACGTAAACGAAGCGGCCTCGTAACTAGTCGGATACTTTTGCTTAAACCGAACTAAAGTCGAACAACCAGCTGCCATTGCCGTCCACACGTCAATCCCTCACCCTCTACCCTCGTGCCGCCCTCCCGCTCGCTCGCTTGATGGCCGGCAACTCTCACTTATGTAATGAGTTTCTCGGGATATTCGATGCGGAATGCGGACTCTATTCAAACTTGTTCGGCTTTCGTAAAGCCCTGCTCTCGGATTCTTGCAAGGATGCCGCGCTGCTACGCCGAAAGAGCGATAACGATCTCGTTCCTCTAGTACCTCGTTTCTCTAGTATCTACTTAACTCTCTCGACTCTCGTGACTTATATCAGTTAGATTGACTTAACTTTTTTGATCGTTGCACGCAAAACTCTTAACGTTTTGATACGTAGAAATTGTAAAAAGAATGGTCTAATATTTGAGGTAATTATCTACCAATAAACTTCTTAGATTAAAAGAATTTCTAATGCAAACTCGAACTCCCAAAAAATTTTCAAAGGAAGAAAAAAGAAAGACAGAAAGAGAGAGATATGATTATAATTGGAAAGCAAAAAGAATATTATTACATTATTCCTTTTCTTTATATTTGGAAAAGCGAAAGACAAACTTTGTTTGAAACCCCTCCAATGAGTTCTCCTATCTCAGATTGACGAGTTGGAGAGCCGAGCTCTCAGAAACCGTGATCCCGTGTTTGCGAGTAAATTCGCGCCGATCCTCCTTCGTAACGCGCACCGAACACCGAAGGAAAGGAAACGAAACGGAAAGTTTGCACTTAAGCTAGCGAAATGGAATGGAACTCGGGAAATCCGTTGCCGCGCGTGAGAAAGTTATTTCGGAATGGATTATATGAAACAGTTTCTTTCGATGGCGTCACGTGCGCGAATAGAGTCCATAACGTTCCGCAAGATAAACCTTTTTTTTGGTACGAAAAATCAATGTGATTATCAAGGGAGCATTTTGAAGCCAGATTCCAGTGATTTCCAGAGAAATTTATAATCGAAGAAGCATCTTGAAAACTCACAATCCATGTGATGAGCCGGATGAGCGCAAAATTTGATATTTTTTATTACAGAATTTGTAGTTACACGATAGTAGTTTCACATTTATTTGATTATTAACAGAATAATTGGCAATATTCAAATCTTTATATTATGCAGAATGATGATGTTGAATATTTATTTGTTCATATATGTTCATATAATTGTTCATATATTGTTCGTATAAACTAACATAATTATGCTATTGGGTAAAGTCCATTTTAAACGATCTATAATTTGTGTCAAATTTGAAATAGCTTTTATATTTTTTATACTATGTATTTTAATATACATCTTATATACGTATATATGTATTCCGATTTTTCAAATGTTTTTTACGTTACTTGATGCATAAAATTATATGCAGAATTCTGACACGAATTATAAAATACTACTGCAAGTATATTTTTTAACGAAAAAATGATGTCATCGAAAAAATTTAAAATTATTTTATTACTGTTAATTTTTATATAATAGTTTTATTTGAAAGATTAACCATTAAATTTATTAATGATTAATTTTTTGAAAATATCTTATAGTCGATGACTAATACATTCTTTTAAACTTTCTATTACACCTCTTGATAGACGCGCGCGGTTGACCACGCGTCGCGAATGCCCATGTTGCGATTGACCACGCATTGCAATTAGCCACGTTGCGATTGACCACAGCGCAAGTTTTCCA